AAAAGATTTGAGGAGAGGGGAGTATTTTATCACCGATATTGTATAGAATTACCAGATCATACTAATAATAAAAAATAGGCCGGCCTGTAGATACTACAAAGATGAAATTGAGAACTCGAGAAACAAAGAAAAAGTAAAATTTTAAAGAAGAAGAAAATAAGGAAATCTCCCATTATTTTTCTAATTGTAATAGCTAGGGGCAATCTTTTAACTCTTCCGGCTTGGGAACTGTGCAATACCATTTCTAATTGTAGAATACATATTATTACATTATTTTTCTATTTCTCTGCAATAATTTAATTAGAGAGTCTTGATGCCAAGTCAAATATAAACAGCAAATACTTTCTTTTACTTTTAGCAAAAATATTGACCTAATATAGAGAATACTTGGGAGAATCTTACAAAATAAGTTATGCTAAAGAGAATATTTATTCAAATATTTATTATGCCTTTAATATATATTACCTAGAAAATTCAATATAACCAATTAGTAGGATAAAAATATTCAATTAACCTGGGCAGAAAATGGCAAAAAACAGAAGTTGGGGGGTTTTTTTGCTCATTTACCCAGAATAGCCTATCCCATTACCACTTACACACAAAACTTTCTCTTTTGTTATTTAAAAAAAAAAAAAAAATCAAGTTGGTTTCCCAAACTGAAAAAGCTATATCCCAAACTGGGCAGGAGCTAGTAATTTCTTTAGACCGAAGTCAAATTTTTCCTTTCACTATTCTCCAGCTAAGGTTACCATAAGGCTTATTCATCAATACAGAGGCAAAACAGATGGTTATATTTTCAGGAGGACTCGTTTTTACTTTTTTATTTTTTTATTTTTTACTTTTTACTTTACTTTTTTATTTTTTTTTTTAGTATCAGTCTCTGAGAGATGGGGAGAGGAGAGAAGACTGGTCCTTCTCTACAGGTTCTTTGAGAGCATTACTTTAGAAGACAGGGGCTATCTTCCCCCACTGTCCCCTCTAGATGGCTTCAGTTCCAATCATGGCTCAGTTTTACAATTTTTAAAGTGACCTATAAGATGTTTTAATTCTAAAAAGCAGAACTCAAGTACATTGTTGTGGAGAAGGGATTCTGAAGCTCACCTATAATTTTGCCTTTCAGAATCAGAGAGGCTTAAGGATACGAAGCCCACTGCAAGAGGGAATAAATGAAACTCTGGGCTCAACGGTCAGAAGTTCAATCCCCTGCTGCCACCACACTCCCTAAATGGTAACAACCAGTCTTATATTTCCCAGGCAAGAGACTGGAGAATGTCCTCACTGGCAAAACTAAACGCGCGCGCGCGCACACACACACACACACACATGCACACACACACACGCACACACACACACAATCTACAGCTACTGACATGTGGGCATCACCACATGATAAAACTGGGTTTGAACATAAATACTGAACATTGAAGCACATATAGGGCTTCTCATCTGCATTTTTGTGCCTTAATTTTCAGAATAATAGATACCAAGGACAATCGGATATTCAAGGAAAGTCTCTAATGGGAAAAACAGAGAACAAAACAAATAGAAGAAATAAAAGAATGTGGAAAACAAAAACAATGCAGAGAAAAACTCCAAAAAACTTATAATAGTAATTAACATGCTAAGATATGAGAATATAACCATGAAATACAAATAGGATAGAATTTTTAAAAGAAAATAACAAAAAACTCTTTAGAAAAAATTTTAAGTGATAAAAATAAAATAGCTAATTTTAAAAATTAGATATAAAATCAAGTAAATATCTCAGAGGATAGAAGTTTAAAAACAAGATGGAACATATACGGGAAAGTCTAAGAATATTGCTCAGTCCAAGAAGTCCAATATCTGATTAATAGTTGTACCAGAAAAATAAAACAAAATAATATATGTAAAATTATAAAAGATACAACAAAATTTTCAGATTGAGTTTCTACATCTGAAGAGCTCACAAGATAAGTAGTACAACAAAAATCTACTCATTTCAAAGTTTCAAATTTTAAATTATCAGAGATAAAGAAATTCTAAAAGCTTCTAGAAACAAACAAAAACAGTTCTATACAAGAAAGCAGATATTAGAATGTAAGTACATTTCAAAACAAAAACACTAAAAGCTAAAATATAATGAAGTGATAGCTTCAAAATTTTGAAGGAAAATTATTTCCAATCTAGACTTCTAAATACAGCCAACTATCAAGTAACTGTGAGGATAGACAATATATATTCATCTTTACAAGTTCTCCAAATGTTATCTCC